CCAGGGAGAGGCAAGAAAAGATGTAGGCACCACGGAGTGACAATGGAAACATTCAGCAGTCCTCATAAACCATGCTCTGGATCTTTGCCCGGCTGTCAGCCACCTTCACCCAGATGTCACCATGCATGGTCCGGACAGGCAGGTGGCCAGCCCCGTACCCAGGAACAAGGGAGGTGTGGGCACCAGCCCCCTCAGCCCACATGGCTTCCATTCTCAGAGTCAGCCAGCTTCTCCTTCTCTTTCTTAGGTCCCAAGGTCTGTTTCTCACTATGGCACCTTCCCAGATGCCTGCCTTCACAGAATTCTTGCAATTAGGCACATATCTCAGAGCCAATGTGATTTTAATCATATTTCTCCATAGGCTGGATGCCTCCCACTCCTGTCTTCCTCTGTTTTCCTTACAAATGCATCAACAACTGGTGAATGCACACACTCCACTGGCTCCTCAGTCTCTCTGCAAACACATGCAGGCACACACGGCTCACGCACAAGTACACACACAGGTATGCACAGATATGCACACATGGGCTTAAGAGTTCTGACTCTCCCAGCACTTTTTTTTTTTTTAGAGAGAGAGAGAAAGTGCATGCAAGCGGGGGTGGGGGGGAAGGGCAGAGAGAGAGAGAGAGAGAGAGAGAGAGAGAGAATCCTAAGTAGGCTCCATGCTTAGCTTGGAGCCTGACTTGGGGCTCCCTCTCACCACCCTGGGACCATGACCCAAGCTGAAATCAAGAGTCAGACACTCACCTGACAAGCCACCCAGGCGCCCCCTTCCCAATACTTTTGGTGGGTCCATTCTTCACACAGAGCTCTTCACAGGAAGACGGGGATGAGGACATTTTGGAGAACGGCTCTCCATTGGTCATGGATGTCTTCCCCAGAAGCCATGGCTTCCCTATTCTGAAAACGAGGAGTTCAAGGTGCCAGCAACAGGAAGGCCATCATGGCTATGACTGGTCAGAATTAGGTTCAGCCAATAAATGCAGCTTCAACCGGTGTTTCTCAAACTTTCACAGGCACACAAATCACGTGGGGATCTTCTTAAACTGAGGTTGTTGATTGAGTAGGTCTGGGTGGGACACACATTTCTTTTTCTTTTTAAGATTTTATTTTTAAGTCATCTCCAACCCAACCCCAAGGTCAAGAGTTGCATGCTCCACCAACAGACCCCAGGCTGACGCCCCCAGAATATACATTTCTAACAAGGTCCTAGGAGATACCAGTGATTACTGGAGCTCCAGCTATGATACTGCGTTTCATCCAGCTTCTTTCTCAGAGGCAAGAACTGACAGAAAAAGAGCTTGGCCCCTCCCTATAAGAATGCAGCGGATTTTCTGTTAACTTCCCACCCACAAGGGAGCCACATGGCCTCACCTTTGCCCATCTGTAAAGGAGGCTGGGAAATGATCTTGTGTGTCAGTTACCATGTGCCCTGCTGAACATTGGGAGTTCTGTTACTGAGGAATTAGGTAAGGGGCACTGAGAGTCAGCAATCTCTGACAGACAGCAAGCTGGGGCGAAAACATAGACATTTCTGAGCCCTTGTCGGCAGGGAGCGGACGTCTGGCCCCTTGGGCTTCTGCCCACAACCTCTGAGTCCCCCTTAAGACAAGTCTGATGATATGCCAAGCACTGCCTGGGCAATCTCAGACACCGGTCAAGCCTCAGGCACTGGAGGCAAGTGTCCAGGTTCAAATCTTGGTTCTACTACTTACTGGCCAAATAATCTTGGGCAAGTGACTTCAACGCTCTGTGCCTCAGTTTCCCCATACATAAAACGCGCATAATGCTAATCTCTCTCTCCAAGTGTTGGTGTGCGGAAAATGAGCAGAGCTTGTGTAGAGTGAGCATTCAACAAACACCAGCTTCAGTGAGGAAAGGAGGCCACGCTACCTCTCTGTGTCAGCCCGTCTTGGATCACGCCCTGTGTGACGCCGCGTGCCCAGAAGAGAAGGGGGGAGACTCGAGGCCATCCCGGAGGAGCTGACAACCCTTAAGCTGAATTAATGACCGTGAAGCGATGCATTGGAAGACCAAGCATGTATTTGCAGATGATCTCAGTTTCCTAAGAAAGCCTCCGGACGATTTTCTTCCAAATTGTCTTTTAATGGGTTTTTGACTGAATCACTGAATTCTAATCATACCACGGTAGCTGTGTAATGGATCCCCTCGGCCGGGTTGAACTCCATACCCCAGGGGTCCTTTTCTTGTGTGTTTCTGCTGGAGGTGGCCACAGGGGGGTTGTCCCAGGAGAGCGCAGGTGGGGAAAGGAAGGAGGCGGAGGTCATTCCGTGGCAGACGCAGTAAAAGTATGCAGTGCTGATCTGCTGACTTCCCTCCCCGCAGCTGGGACCTGAGGGCCACGTTGGAGGAGGGCTCCCGGCTCCTGCTGGATTCCCTTGTCTCCAAGGTCAGAGGCAGCGAGAACCCGGCTCGGGTTTTGGTCTCATCCTGAGGGGATTCCAGTGCCTATGCCCTTGGGGTCCCAGCCTGCTCTCACTGCTGCCCCGTAGGCTCCAAGCTCCAACATCAGACCTGGAGATGGTTACCCAGCTCCCAGCGTTGGTGCAAGCCAATTTTCCTGAATAAATTACCTATCTGTGTATCTATCATTTGTCTAACATCTCACACTCTTCCACTAGTTTCGCTGCAGTGGTTCTGTGGTCGAACCCCCGACTGACACGCATACGGTCAGAAATGCAGAGGAACTTTCCTGTCGCTCAGTCCCCTATTTCACAGCTGGGAGAAGTGAGGCCCAGAAAAGTGAAATGCTTTACGTGAGGCCACCCTTCAAGCCAGCGACCAAGGAAGGGCCAGAACCTGCTCTCCTGACCCCCACTCCTGTGCCCTTTGCGCAGACGTCTCCAACCACGTTCACGTGGTCACGCGGCAGAACATTCTGGGCCCCTCCTGCCTTCCAGCTGCCAGGCCTGGGGTTGGTGTAGGGCCAATTCCTATGTGGGGCTGCCCTCAAGCTGCCCCACAGTCAGGTGGGAGGCAGGGAAGCCTGCAGACAATGCTGACAGGGGGTGACAAGTGCCCCGGGGGGGGGGGGCGCTGATCTTCTCTGAGGACACTCTGGGAAGAGCTCTCCACTATCTTGGCCCAAGAATGAAGCTACACACTGACAGCTCCCGGCAAGTGCCAGCCCTGAACTGTCCTGGGGGGTGGGGGACACTCCTCTCTGCCTCTCCCTGCTGCCCTCCCCTCCTCTGCGGGGCCTGGCATCCTCCGGCCCTCCCTGTCCTGTGCTACCTACTACCCCCCCCCCCAACCAGACCCCTGCCTCCTCAACATCCCTTTGGTGCTAAAGGCTCTGTGTCTCACCAAGTGAATAGAGTGAGGAGCCTGGGAGGGGTTGCTGGAGCCCCCCACCCTCTCCTCTTCTGCCAGAGGCAGTGCTTAGCAGGAAGCATACTTCAAGGTACTTTCTTCAACAAACCCTTCTGGAGGCTGCCCTGGGCTCACCATTGTCCTCCTCCCTGGGGATCCAGAAGCTCACTAAGCCCCAGGCCTGGCCTGCCCCCACCCACTGTGGCCCGCAGAGCCTGGCCTCAAGTGTGAGAAACACCATGACTGGCATTTCTGAATACTGAGGTGCTTCCTGGCCTGAGGACTCCCTCACCAACCTTCAGGTCACACCAAAGCACTCTGGAGAACAAACAATGTGCTGGTTCCGTGACTGATGTGGGGAAGGCAGAAGGGGGTGGCCGTGGGGAGGGACAGGACCAAAGTTACTTGTCCCTGTTTACTCCCTGCCGAGCCAGAAACTCTCTGAACTTACTGGAAAGCTCCTGTGACTTTGTTTTCCTGCAACGATACAAAAACAGGTTGGACTTCTCCAGTATTTACTCGAAGACTTAATTACCTAATTATGAGCTGGGTTGCCTGGCAGGCTCGCAAGGGTAAAGGTTGGGCAAATGCATCCGCTTCTCACCTGGGCCCCTGAGAAGACCTGGGATGGGGGCTCCTCCACCCAAGACAGGAGCAACCCGGGGGAGGGGGCCGAGTTGAAACCGGCAGAGTCCTGGCTACGGAATAGGACAGAGTTGGCAGAATGCTGTGCGGCCTTGAGCAGCTTGCCTAACCTCTCTGAACCACTGTCTTCATCTGTTAAGTAGAAATAGCAATGCTTCTCTTGCTGAGTATTGGAGCGGTAATAGTGGTTTCCTGGAACCCAGCACTCAAAGGGGCTACTGTCAGTAACAAAGTCCTCATTGTGTCAGGCTGCCGGGGACTCAGATGTTCTGACCCAGCTTCCACCCTCAGTCCCCTTCAGAAACTGATTCTACCCAAGCACGTCCCCTCCCAGCCTCACTGCTCCCAGACACACGGATAGCACTACCTCAAGACGGCAGATGCAGATAATGAGTTGGCAGATACGAAGTTGCCACTGACGATGTTAGACACCCTCCTAGCTGCTGGGAGGAGGTTCTGTCCTCCCAGTTCAGCTCTGTCATGTCTTGACTCAGTTTCCCTCTGCTCTGGTCTCCTGAACCCCTGAGGAGCCATGTTCGTGCTCTGTGCCCTGATAAGCATCTGGCTGCCTCTTCAGTCCATCTCCGGTGACCATCAAAATTTTGCTGTTTGGATCCCCTGCACCATGGATTTAAAAAAAATATACGCCCGAGTTGAAATTCCCAATGGGAGGGGGCAGCTATGCAGAACACATCTAGATGTGTTTTTAGATTAACATCAAAATGAAATAAAAAAAAAAAAATTCTCAAGGAGCTGCTGACCCCAGTGTGAGAAAGTCTGGATTGGGGTCAGCAGAACCTGGGGCAATCCCACCTGACCCTCTTCCTCTAACACTTCCTTTTTCCCACCTCCAGGGCACGCAGGAGGAACAGTGGGTGTTGGCCCAGAGCCCTCAGTGGTGTCCGAGGTAGATTGCAAACAGCAGCAGAAACATTTACTCCTCCCCCTCCAAGCCCTTGCAGTGACTTTGCAGCTCCTTCCTCAAGGGTGTGGGGGGGGGGAGGGGGCAGGGGGGGTGGTCAGTTCCCCTGCCCTTGAATCCAGGCTCTCCTGTTGCTTGCTCCAGAGAACATAGCAGAAGTGAAGGTGATACTGAGCCAGACCCCTAAGGCGGTGGGTTCCCTCTTTAAGTCACCCCCGGTAACTCGGAAATCAGAGCTCCCCCCTTTGTGGGGGACAGCACCTTGGTACCACTTCTAGTGGAGAGAGGGTGCGGCGTGGGTAGGAAGTAATGCAGAAAGTTTTCAGGTCTCCCGTTCAGAACTGGGGAAAAGGGAAACACAGTGGCTCGCTGTTCCTCCTTCTTCATTGGAAAGGAAGCTCTAGCAAGCTGGAAGGTGAGTACTAACCTCTTGGCTGCAGTAAAGCCCAAGACAAGGACAGGGTGCCTTGTCCCCCTGCATTACGGCCATGTGGGGAAGGGAACTGATCCCCCACCCCGGCCCAGGAGCCCAAGCTTTCCTGGTGGGAGCTGCTATTAAACTGTGTCATTCTGCAGAAGAGGCATGCCAAGCCCAGAGATGCTGTGTCCTTTTCCCAAACCACAGAGCAAGCAAAGGGTAGGCTGAGATGGTCTCCTGGCGTACGTGTTCTCAGCCTCTTCCTGGGAAACGCAGGGCCCTGCTGCTGGCCTTGCCTCCTTGCCCCTTCCCACAAACCCAGCTGAGATCAGAGATTCTCTGTTAAAGATGAGCGCTCCTTGAGGGCTCGAGGCCCAGCTGCTTCTTTTCTCCAGTCTTCCTGGTTGTGAGGGCTAAATCTGGCCGGAGGGGGAGCCAGGACAGGGTTGCTGAAAGAGCTTTTCTGACTCCCCATCAGTGGGTGCAAATTCAAATTCTGGTGGCACAGCACACACACCTCTCTCCAGCAGTATCTGAAGCATGCTTATAAGTGGTTATTTACGTATGTATATTCACATTCGTGTGTGTGTGCACGCGCACGCGCATGCATACCTATCTTTGTCCACTGGATTGTGAGCTCTTTGATGACATGGGCTCTGAGACAGATAGATAGAAAGATAGATAGATAGATAGATAGATAGATAGATAGATAGATACTGGGCAGGTGGATGGACAGGTGGGTGAGTGGGTGGATGGATGGATAGATTTGTTCATAATGGAGTCAGATAATATGGAAGGAAGGCAGAATTCAGGGCAGGGCTTGATCCTAGAAAAACAGAACAGCCAATATGAAGACACCGCAGCAACCAAGCCTCTGGGTTTGAAACTAGAGGGCCCAAATGCCGTCTTAGTCATTCAATTTCTCCAGTCTTTAGTTTCTTCTGTAAAAAGGGAATGGTAACAACGGGGTCTGCCGCTCAGAAACAAATGAGAAGACAAGCCTAAAAGAACGTGCTTCCGAGGTTCACAGGGCAGACGGGCTCAGGGCCGCGAACTCAGGCAGGTACGGGGTCCAGTTCCGGTTCTACCACATATGGACTGCTGGACCCCGGGGGAGATCGCTTGACGCCCCCCCCACCCCCCGCCCCGCCACCACCGCCACCACCGCCAAGCCTCAGCTGCAAAACCCGAAGAGGAAGTTGCTCCTTGGCAGGGGTTTGTGAATATGAAACAAGGTCTTGTGTTGGAAGCAGGTGCTCAGCGATGATCACGTGGCGGCTGCTGTCAATTTCTCTTCTCAGGAGGCCTGGCTCCGCCCCCTCGCAGTTTGGAAGATCAGAGAGACGCAGGTGGAGGCAGGGCCACAGCCAGGCGGGGACTGCTGCACTGCAGTAGGGGGGTGGGGGCGCGGGCTGCAGAGCAGGGCGAAGGGTGACGGCTCCCGCAGCGCATGGGGGGCAAGGAGAGCCGCTTGGAGGTGGTGGGCAGGATTTATAAGGAAAACCCTTTGCTCCTCAGCTGATTCCCAGGGAAGGGGGGAGGGCGTGGGAGGGGAGATGCTGGCAAGGCAAGGACAAGAGAAATATTTTAGAAACAAAATAATGACAGTTCTTGGGGAGATGCCAACATTAGCTTATCTGCGGACATGCTCCCTCAGAAAGGGCCAGGGGCCTGGCCGCTGGAGACAGCTGCCAACACAAACAAGGAGAGGGACCTGGCTTCCTCTGCGGACGAGGCTGGGAATAGGAGCCAGCTCTACATGATGGCAGGGAAAAGACAGGGTCTGGGGACCCCAAAGCAGCCCAAAGCAGCCGCGTACAGCCAGGGGCAGCTGGCATCCTGGGTTCTTCTGGTCCAGTTCTGGGTGCTTCTCATTCCTACTGGGGCCTGAGATAATTAATTCACTTCCCTCTGCCACCTCTCCCTCCATCTGTGAGCCCCACCCCACACCATCCTCTCCTTGCCTTGGAGGGACTGCCCTGTCCCCTCCCTGAGAAACAAGCCCCCCTCAGCCACTCCACCAAAGCCACCAGGGCTTGAGCAGAGGTTGCCCTTCCTCACCCGCTCCTCCCCAGCCGGTCCTCAGCCGGTACACAGCAGTGGTCAATGGGATGCTCTTTTCCTTGGATCTGAATTTAGAGAGCATTTTCTAGCTCTTGGAAGGGATGAAAGGCTGGGAGCAGAGGACCTGCCCATGCTAAGCAAAGGGGTAAGGATGGGGGCTTTTTGTGGTAGAGAAAGGAAAGTAGAAGAGGAAGAGGTACTGAAGGAGGGAGGAAGGAGGGGGACAAGGAGGAGAAAGAGAGAAAGTCCAACTCCCCTAAATACCCTCCATAGGACCTCAGACTTAGTCCCCACAAACCCTAACATTAAGTCCTATCCTGGGCGGCTCAGTTGGTTAAGCGTCTGACTTTGGTTCAGGTCGTGATCTCACAGTTCGTGAGTTCGAGCCGCGCGTCAGGCTCACTATGGTCAGCGCAGGGCCCGCTTTGGATCCTCTGTTCCCCTCTCTCTGCCCCTCTCCCACTCGCACTCTCGCTCTCAAAAATAAATAAATAGATAGATAGATAGATCCTATCCTGGTTTTCAATTTATGGACTTAATTTTTTTGGCCATTTTATTTTATTTTATTTTACTTGATATTCTAATTTATTTCTGTTAAGTTTTGATTTAAATTTCAGTTAGCTAACATACCGTGTAAAATTAGTTTCATGCATACCATGTAGTGATCAGCCTTTTGTATTTCAAAATACGATACCTAGAGAAATAGGTGTTACAAAATAACCGTACAGCTTAACAAACTATTAGTGACTAAATCGTAGGCCAGTGCGAGACTCGCGATCGCGGGTCCCCGAAGCCCTTCCCACTCACGACCTCCCTTCCCCTCAAAGTTGACCAGTATGAGAACTTGTGTCTTTTCTTTATAATTTTACACAGCCAACTAAGCGTGTGACCTGAAACATGATAGTTCAATTTTGCCAGCTTTTAAGCTTTATGTAAACGGAATCCTATCTATGTGTTCTTTTGAGTTCAGCTTCTTTCATTTACGGTAACAGTTTTTGAGAGTAAATCACACTTTGCCTATTATTTGGGTCATTGGTTCTGGGTGCTGTGGATTACTCCACTGCGTGACTTCAATGTATGCATCCGTTCTACGGTCATGGACATGAGGGTTGTTTCCAGCTGGACGCTATTACACAAAACCCTTCCTGTCCTAATTTTCTTTAGGTGTCCACCCAATTTTCTTTAGGTGTCCTAAGATTTTTACCAGATTTTTACCACCAATGAGCGACCTGAATGTGGGGACGTAGCACCCAACTTGAAAATGGGAAAATCCAGAGAAATTTGAGCCCTTATTAGGGCTGCATCCTGGACCTTTCAGAGAATGCAGGTTCAGAGTCATTTCACTTTCCAGGTCGATAAACGAACAAAGATTTTTTTGAGCGTGTGGAGTCTAAAAGGAAGGGAGGACAGGCCCCAATACATGCGCGGGAGACCACAAAAAGATACCACTGCAGGCTTGAGGTCGAGGCCAGCTTCCATGAGGAATCAGTCTTGGAGAGGCTGGGTGGAAGGATTCACGTAGCGTAACCTGGACATTATTCAGTTCAACCCTTTGTACAGATGCGACTCCCAATGTCTGAGACTCCTGGCTTCCTTGTCTCCCCAGACCAAGTGGGAACAGGGACCTCCTCCATCGCAGTCCAAAGGAGCGCCTGGATCACGCTTGTCTGGACGTTGAAGCCCTCTGGAGCACTAGGAGAGCCATGGTGAGCCAGCAGGAGGGGACTGCGCAAGGTAGGAGCTCGTCACAGAGCAGCCTCTCGGGGAAGGTGGTGGACAAAACAAACAAGCTGACTTCGTAGAACAACGCTTTCCAACGTGAGCCCTTGTAAACGAGCATTTGGGTTCCAGAGATGGGAATCAGACTGTGTTCCCAGCCTGTAAGGCTGGACTCTGCTGCTGTTGTGTGTGAATGGATGGATGCGGTCTGTATCTCTGTAGGACAACGACCTAGCAAACTTACATTCCAAGGGCAGCATTCCAGCAGGGCCAGAGGAACGAATTCAAGAGATTCCCTGGATTTGGATCCCACCACTGCCACTGGCTTGCTGAATGATCATTCTTTCTCTGGGCCTCAGCTCCTCTATCTGTAAAATGGGGGGCTAGACAAGGAGACCTTTAGAAAGGCCACTCATCCCCCAACATCCTACGGTTCTACACATGTCCAGGGGAGGGGAGAGCCTCATAAATGAGATGTACCACATTAAAAGACTGTTATGACCAGGGCCAGGTGTTATAAACCAGAGCCTTTAAGGGAGATCCACGGGTAGCAAGGGTTTGGTTAGGAGAACCCAAATCAACTCAAGGCTCGCCTCTGTGGCCTGTGCACAGATTGCATTTAAGCATCGCAGAGGCTTTTGCTGCCTTGAGAAGACACACACACACACACACACACACACACACACACACACACACGCACACACACAGGGGCACCTGGGAGGCTCAGTTGGTTAAGCGTCCGACTTTGGCTCAGGTCACGATCTCACGGTTCGTGGGCTCGAGCCCCGCATCGGGCTTTGCGCTGACAGCTCAGAGCCTGGAGCCTGCTTCGGATTCTGTGTCTCCTTCTCTCTCTGCCCCTCTCCCGCGCACACTCTGTCTCCTTCTCTCTCAAAAATACATAAAGATTAAAAAAAAAAAAAAAAGAAACCTGTTTAAAAAAAGGAGACACACACACCCGTCCGGGGACGCCTGCCTGGCTCAGTCACAAGAGCACGTGACTCTTGATCTCAGGGTTGGGAGTTCAAGCTCCATGGTGGGTGTAGAGATTACTGAAAAAAAAAAAAACTAAATTAAAACCAAACTTAAAGAAGACACACAGAGATATTAGACACCTTGCTTTTTTACTTCGTATATCAAGAACATCTTTGCAGGTGGATATGGATAGCTCGAACTCCGAAGCCACAGAATGAACATAGCATAGGTCATTCACCCAGTCCCCTGAATACACAGGGTATTTCCAGTGTTTTGGGAACAGTCGTGTGATACACACCCTCGTACATACATCACATGCCGCCGTCTTTGACAAACAGCTCAGATTGTGTCACTCTCCTCCTCCAAGACAAAATGCAGACTCCTTTCCCTGAGCTCCAAGGTCTATACCATCTGGCCCTGCGCCTTCTCTGAGCTCCGCCCGGAACACCCTCCGTGCCCACTAGTGCCTGCTCTGCTGGCCTGATTGCAAGGCCTTGAACTGGCCAAGCCCGATCCTGCCTCGAGGCCATTGGGCCAGCCGTTTCCTCCCCTAGAACATTCTTCCTTGATCTTCATTGACTTCTTCCTTGCTGCTCAGAGCTCAGGTTCAATGCCCCCTCCTCTGAGAAGCCTTCCTGCTCATCCAAGTTCAAGCAGCCACCCTCACTCTCTCATTATTGTCTCCTGTCAATTCTCTGGAGAGCCTGTCGAGGCTTGACTTGTGTCCGCTAAAAAGATGTATTGAAGTAACTCCTAGTAGCTGTGAATGTGCCCTTATTTGGGAGTCATCTTCGCAGGTGCAGTCAAGTTGAGATGAGGTCATCCTAGGAAAGGATGAACCCTAACCCAATGACTCGTGTCCACATAAAAAGAGGGAGATTTGGGCAAAGAGACACACAGAGAGAAGAGAACGCCATGGGATGGCAGACTGCAGTGATGGGCCAAGGGACACGGGGGTTTGCTGAGAGCCGCCAGAAGCCAGGAGAGAAGCAAGGAACAGATTCCCCAAGCTCAGAGCCTCCAGAAGGAACCACGCCTGCCAACACCTTGATTTTGAACTTCTGGCTTCCAGGACTATGGGGGAATATTTGGTTCTGTTATTTTAAGCCACTAAGTTTGTGGCCATTTGTTACAGCAGCCCTGGGAAAGGAATACACGGCCCTCGTCCCAACCCAGTACGTGTCTGGTTTCTCTCTTTCTTGGTTTCTTTGTGGTCTGCCTTTCCCATAAGAACGTCAGCCCCGTGAGAGCAGGGGCCTGGGCTGTCCTCTCTGTGGCTACACCCCCAGTGCCTGACACACGGGCATTTTTGAATTCAGGGGCAAGGTGTTATTTCTAAAGGGAATGAATTCCTGTACGTGGGCTTGCAACATTTGAATGTCAGTGTATTCTGAGTTTGATGGACCATCAGATTATGTTCCCCCAAATGTGGTAGCTACAGTCCTCCTCCCAGCAGGCCACAGAAATGCCCATCTCCCATGTTCTATTCAGCCCTAAAGGGTGTTAACTTGCCATCTGGAGGCTGAGCACGGGATCTCCTTGCTGGGCTAACTTTTAGTTTCTTGGCTTTTGGGAAAAGTGACTGTCTTTTCATAGATTCAGGTGCTGTTTGCACTTCTCTTATGAATTGCTTTCTTTTCTGTTGGTATGTGCGGTGGGCAGAATAATGGCCCCCCCTATATTTTCCATGTCCGAATCCCCACATCTGTGAATATATTAGGTCACATGGCAAAGGGGAATTACGGTTGTGGGTGGAATTAAGTTGTCAATCAGCTGACCTTGAGAATGGAAAATCACCCCAGATTATCTGGGGGACCCCAGTATAATCACAAGGGTCCTCTGAAATGGAAAAGGGAGGCAGGCGAGAGAGAGTCAGAGAGGGGCAGCATGGGAAGGACTCAGCCTGATACTGCTGGCTTTGAAGGTAGAGGAAGGGACCAAAAGCCAAGGCATACAGGCAGCCTCTAGAAGCTGGAAGAGTCTGGGAAATGGATTTTCCCAAGAGCCTCTAGAAGGAATGAAGACCTACCAACACTTTGATTTGAGCCCAGTGAGACTCATTTTGGACTCCTGACCTTCAGAACTAAAGGAGTTGTTTTCAAGCCACCAGTTTTGTGGTAATTTGTTAGAGCAAGCAGCAATATGAAATTAGTACACTATGTTTGAATTTTCTTATCAATTCTGAGACGTCTGTTGTATGTTAGGGCTATAAACCCTTTAATTTTTTTTTTTTTTTTTTTTTTTACATCCATGCTACCCTCGTGTTCTGGGACTGGAATTATTGGTTAATCATCTACCTCCTTCCTCCCTGAGCCCTCAAGGACAGGATCCATATTTTATCCCGGTGTTTCTAGTAAGCCCGGAAGGTGCACCAAAAATGCAGAATGAATGAAAGAACAGCTGAACTCCAGGAATATCTTTACATTCTATTATCCCTGCATCCCCACATCCCTGTGCCCTAGGAACACCAAGGTTTCAGATAATGGGGAGACCCAAGTATTTGTTTCTTGGTCCTGTCCCTCCCTAAATGATTGGGTCCCTGTGCCTCACTTCCGAGTGGGGTCCAGGTAGAGAGCAGGACTGGAAGGAGCCTCGGCACACAGCGAAACGCAGAGGCTGCAGGGCTTTGGGAGGTGGCCACGATTAGAATGAAGAGGCTTCCGGAATCCTCGAGTACTCCAGCACGTCACAGGCTGCAGCAGGACACTCTCCCACGAGGACCAGAATGTGACTCTACTGTGTGGCTTGGCAGAACTGGAGCGTTCTGAAGTCTGGGACACGGCGGAAGTGAGGGAGCATCACTCCCCGGATAAAAGTTGATGACACACTGTCTCGGGGTCTCCAGATCTGTTGGATCACTCACTGGGGCAGGGTGTGAGCAGCCCCACGGAGCAGTCTCTGCAGCAGGGACCTGCAGCCTTGTGCCAACAACCACGTGTATGAGCTTGGAAACAAATTCCTTCGCTCCAGCTGAACCTTCATCCGACTGCAATGCCGTCCCCCCAGCCGGTCGCAGCCTTAAGAGACACCCTGAGCCAGAGGCACCCAGCGAAGCCGCTTCTGACTTCCTGACCCTCAGAAACCGTGAAATAATAATGTGCATTGTTCTAAGCCAGCAAGTTTTGTTATGTAGCGACAGTAACAAATGCTGTTGGAAATCCTGGTCCTTCGCAGTTTTGAGAGCTACGCTCTAAGGCTAAGGCTCTAGCTTTCCAGCGTTTCCATGGGGAGATCCCAAACAGCTCTGATTCCTGATTCTGTGCGCCTGACCCGCTTCCCCCGGCCACCGTGACGCCTTCTCCTTATCCCACGGGTTCTGAAATCGCACAGCCCTTTGCCTTGCTGGGTCCACAGGTGTCTGGCAGGCCGTGTGGGTCTGCAGATTCCTTCTTTTCATTGCAGGGGAATTCTCTTGAATCCTTCGATTGACAATTTTCTCTATTCTCAATTGCTGAAATTCCTTTGGTTCATATTTTGGGCCTCCGGGGACTAGTCTTTATTTTCTTCTTCGCTCTCCTCTCTTCCTCCATGGTCCCTTTCTGTGTTTTTCCCATGCTTTCTGGGTGACTTCATAGTTTCATACTCTCATCTTTTAGTGACGTTTTTTATTTTATTTTTTCTTACGCATTCTCTTTTTTTTGTAAGTGTTTTTACTGTGTGCTCCTTTTTGATTTATTTTTATGTTTATTTATTTATTTTGAGAGAGAGAAAGAGATCACTTGTGCATGCACGTGAGTGGGGAAGAGGCAGGGAGAGAGGGAGAGAGAGAATCCCAAGCAGGCTCTACACTGTCAGTGCAGAGCCTGATGCGGGGCTCGATGTCACTAACTGTGAAGTCATGACCTGAGCTGAAATCGAGAGTCAGACGCTTAACTGACTGAGCCACCCAGGTGCACCAAGTGGTCCCTTTTTCTTTTCTTTTTTTATTTAAAAAAATTTTTTTAATGTTTATTTATTTTTTTTTTTGAGAGAGAGACAGAGAGAGAGCACACAAGCAGGGGAGAGGCAGAGAGAGGGAGACACAGAATCTGAAGCAGGCTCCAGGCTCTGAGCTGTCAGCACAGAGCCTGACGTGGGGCTTGAACCCACGAAACTGTGAGTTCACGACCTCAGCTGAAGTTGGACGCTTAACCGACTAAGCCCCCCAGGCACCCCCCAAGTGCTCCCTTTTTAGATTTTGTTCTTATGTAATTGATGCAAATATCTTCTCTAATCACTGGAAAAGTATCCACACGAGCTTTGGGAGAATTTTTGTATTTGTTTCTTTAAAAGTTTTCTTCCCTGTGCACAGGCTTTCTCTGTTCTTCCAGGTTGCTCTATTCTATTCTATTCTATTCTATTCTATTCTATTCTATTCTATTCATCTCTTCCCTTCAGATGTCTGGCAATCCTAATTTCCCTGTTGCTATTTGGAAGTAGCCGCCGAAGAACTGACTGGAAGGTCTAAACCTTTGGTGGATTGGAATTTGTTCCCCGAGCCTCACCTAGGGAGACAGGATCAAAGTCAAGTCCCACCTGTATTTTAAGTTCACCTCCACGCAGGCACTTGTCGTGATGAACACCAGGTGTCATACGTAAGTGATGAATCACTAAATTCTATACCCCAAACTAATATTACACTATATGTTAACTAGTGGGAATTTAAATAAAAACTTGGAAAGAAAAAATAAAAATAAAAATAAATTCACCTCCGTGAATGGGCTCCTGGTGGACAGGTAGAGCGGTGACAGTATAAGGGGACCCGATGGACAGCAGCAGGACAGGTGAGAGCCTCTCAGGAGGGGCCTCCCAGCTGGCCCCCATCATGTAATCTCTCTTGTCTATGATGAGAAGTTTCGAACTACAGAAAAGTGTAGAGAGCAAAATAGCACACATCCATTTACCATCTAATCAGTAGTGACAATTTGAAAAAAAATTTACTTCCCATTTTATTTATTTATGTATTTATTTATCACTTTCAGAGGGAGAGAGAGAGAGAGAGAGCGAGAGAAAGCTTGAGCAGGGGAGAGGGGGGGAGGGAGAGGGAGAGAAAATCTTGAGCAAGCTCCGTGCTCAGTGCGGAGCCCAACGCGGGGCTCGATCCCACAACTGTGAGATCACGACCTGAGCTGAAATCAAGAGGTGGCCACTTAACCGACTGAGCCACCCAGGTGCCCCATTTCCCATTATCTTTTAAAGACATAAAACACTCCAGGTATAACTGAAGTTCCAGGTTTATCCCCTTCCAGTCTCTTTTGTCTTTCTAGGCTTAACGCTTCTACCCCTGGAGGAAACCGGTATCTCAACTTCGGGATGTCCAAGATTCTATTCCTTCCACTTATGCGTGCATCCATAAATAATAGATAATACTCTTCTGTGTCAAAGATTACACACATGAGCCAAAGCTATTTATAAATTCACTGCAATCCCTATCAAAATATCGGCAGTCTTTTTCACAAAAAAACGGAAAAGCTGAGCCTCAGATTCATATCCATATGAATTCCAAGGGACCTCAGACAGTCAAAACACCGTTGAAGAAGAAAGGTAGACGTCTCACACTTCTGGGTTTCGAAACTTGCTACAAGGCTATAGTAACTGAAGCAGTACGGTACTGGTGTAAGTACAATTATATCCACCAAGAGAATAGAACAGAGATCCCAGACATAAACCCTCCCATACATGGTCAATTGATTTAAAAAAAAAATTTTTTTAACGTTAATTTATTTTTGAGAGAGAGAGAGAGACAGAACGCAAGCAGGGCAAGGGCAGAGAAAGAAGACACAGAATCGGAAGCAGGATCCAGGCTCCTAGCTGTCAGCACAGAGCCCGACGCGGGGCTCAAACCCACAGACCGCGAGATCATGACCTGAGCTGAAGTCAGACGCCCAACCGACTGAGCCACCCAGGCGCCCCTTGGTCAACTGATTTTTGACAAGGTTGCCCAGATCACGCGATGGGGAACAAAGACAGTCCTTTCAACAACTGGTGCTGGAAAACTGGATATCTTCATGCAAAAGAAATCAGACCCTTAACTAACATCAGGCTCAAAAATTAAATATAGATCAAAGCCTACATTTAAGAGCCAAAACTTTAAGTCACCCAAGAAAACAGAGGGGGAGATTTTGACATTGAAATTGGCAACAATTTCATAGACTTGACATCAAAAATGCAGACAACAAAAGAAAAAGACAGATAAATCGGACTTCATCAATATTTAGTCTAAGTTTTTAAACTTGCTGTCATAAAGGTTTTTATAATAAACCTTTTCTTATCTTTTAATACCTGTAGGATCTTTTTCCTTGCTGATATTGACAACTTTTGTTATCTCTCTTTTTATCTTGGTGTTTATCATATTCATTACCTTTTAAAAGAAATCTCTACTTGTTTTTAAGTTTATTTATTTATTTATATATAGAGAGAGAATAGGAGCAGACGAGAGGGAGAGTGAGGGAGAGACAGAATCCCAAGCAGGCTCCTCGACACCAGTGCAGAACCTGACATGGGGCTTGAACTCACGAACTGTGAGATCATGACCTGAGCCAAAATCAAGAGTCGGTGGCCTAAGTGACTGAGACTCCCAGGAGCCCCAGATTCATTACCTTTTTAATAACCCAGCTTTTTTTTTTTTTTTGCTAACCTTCTCTTTTGTACATCTGCTTTATGTATTTTTAAGTAATCTCTGCCCTCACTGTGGGACTCAAACTCACAACCCCAAGATCAAGAGTCCTGTGGTCCACCGACAGAGCCACCCAGGCACCCCATATCTGCTTTATATTTAAATTGACTTTGGTTTGTATTTTGATTTTCCCTTCTGTCTTCTTTCCTTGGATTTAAATTACTGTTCTTTTTCTAACTTGAGATGGAAATTTAGGTAAGTAGTTTTAAACTATTTTCTCTTATCATACATGCATTTAAATCTTAAAATTTCTCGGGGGGTGCTCAGTGGCTTAGTCGGTTAAGCGTCTGACTCTTGATTTCAGCTCAGGTCATGATCTCACGGTTCGTGGGTTCCTGCCCCATGTCAGGCTCCACACCACCACGGAGACTGCTTGGAATTCTCTCTCTCCCTCTCTCTACTCCTCCCTCATTGTCTCTGTCTCTCTCTCTCTCAAAATAAATAAATAAACAAAATAAAATAAAATAAAACCTAAAATTTCTTTCTAATCACTGCATTGGCTTTTATCTCAGTGTTTGCATGCAATATTTTGATTTTCACTCAGTTCAAAATATTTTGACCCCCGGGTTATTTAAAAGTTCTGCTTAACATGCAAACATTTGAGGTCTAACAATCTTTCTTTTGTTCATTTCCAGTTTCATTCCACTTTGGTCGGAGATCATACCCAGCATGAGTTCATCTTTTGAAATTTGTTATAACTTGCTTTACGGTTCAATACACGTTATATTTTGGTAAAAATGCACTTGGAGAGAAGAACATGTATTCTCCAGCTGTTGGGTGCAGCGTTCTATAGCTGTCTATTAAAGTCAAGGTGATTAACTCTGTCATTCATATTTTCTATATACCTATTGATTTTTTTTATCTGCTTTTTCTATCAGTTGCTGAAAGAGATTCGTTAAAACCTCGACCATGGTTACAAATTTGCCCACTTGTCTCTTTTCTTCTGTCAACTTTCTGCTTCATGCAGCCCTGTTATTAGGTGAGTACAAATTTATGATTGTTACGTCTTCCTGTTGAATTAGTCCTTTTATCATTATGAAACATCGCTCTTTACCACCATTCCTACTTCTGACTCTAAAGTCTACTTTGTCTGATATTAATTGAGCCACACCTTTCATTTGGTAAGTGCTTGCATGACATAATTTTTTTTTTAATTTTTTTTTCAATGTTTATTTATTTTTGGGACAGAGAGAGACAGAGCATGAACAGGGGAGGGGCAGAGAGAGAAGGAGACACAGAATCGGAAACAGGCTCCAGGCTCTGAGCCATCAGCCCAGAGCCTGACACGGGGCTCGAACTCACGGACCACGAGATCGTGACCTGGCTGAAGTCGGACGCTTAACCGACTGCGCCACCCAGGCGCCCCAGACATAATTTTTACCATCAGTTTACTTTCTGCCTTTCTGTATCCTATGTTTAAATCATGTCTCATAGGGGCGCCTGACTGGCTCCGTCAATAGACCATGTGACTCTTAATTTCTGGGTCATGAATTCGAGCCCCATGTTGTGCGTAAAGCTTACTTTTTAAAAAACTTAAAAATAAAGTATGTCTCATAAGCAGCACACGATTGTTTTCTTTTTAATCCAGCCTAAAAATATTTGTCTTTTAATAGAAGTGGTGAGTGGAACTTCGATCTGCAATCTTGTTTCTTTTTAAAAATTTATGACACCGCTCCTTTAAACCTTCATTTCTCCTCTTGTGCATGTCTATTGTATTTTGCCTCTTCTGTTAAACTTTTGGTTTTATTTCTATTAATTTTTAGCGGTTAACTCAGAGGCATCATCGACTTTTGGAGTCTACCTTATAATTTGGAAGCTTTCCCATTTCACAAATAATAGAGGAAACCTACACTCGTGTGTACCCACCCTACCTTTTGTAATACTGTTGTTAAATGTTCTACTTTTAGGGGGACATGGGTGGCTCAGTCGGTTAAATGTCTGACTCTTGATCTCATCTCAAGTCTTGATCTCAGGGTTGTGAGTTCAAGCCCTGCATCGGGCTGAGTGTGAAACCTACTTAAAAAAAAAAAAAGTTTCACCTCTACATACACTATAAATCCCACAAGCCATAGTTATCTTGTGGCTTCAAACAGTCAACCCTCTTATATCTGGGCACATACTTGCTTCTTGGAATTCTCTGTTCCACTCTGCAGTTCTGTTTCCATTCGGAATTGTCATCCTTGTATTTCTTGTAGCAGGAGTCTGCTGGTGGTGAGTCCTCTGACTTCATTAGCGTGAAAATGTCTTTGCCTTCATTTTTAAAATTAAATTAAATTAATTTTAGAGAGTGCACAAGCAAGGGAGAGGGGCAGAGGGAGAGACAGAGAGAGAGAGAGAGAGAGAGAGAGGGAGGAGAGAGAAGAGACAGAGACAGAGACAGAGAGAAGCTTAAGCAGGCGCCACACTCAATGCGGAGCCTGACACAGGGCTCAATCCTACAACCCTAGGATCACAACCCGCGCCGAAATCAAGAGCGGAACGCTCAACTGACTGAGTCACCCAGGCGCCCCGCCTTCATTTTTTAATTGTTACCTTTGAAAGCTTTGAAACTATCACACAGTTATGGAAAAGTACAATGTCCAATACAGAGAAATGTTTGTTCCTGACCCATTTGAGAGTATTTTGCCAACCCAGTACCCCTGAATACTTTAGCATATGTTTCCTATAGTGTTTTCTGGCATAACCACAGTACGGACTTCAAAATCAGGCAGTTAATAATGATGTGTTCCCATCCTATCCAAGCCCCCGGTTAAGATTTGTCAATTGTCCTGATAACTTCTTTAGAAAAGGAATCATGCGTTATATCAGAAATTTCAGCTGTCATGGGTTATCATGCCTTCTTAGTCTCCTTCAGTCTGGACCAGCGTCTCAACCTTTCCTAGCCTTGATGCATTTATGGATTACAGGCTAGCCATTTTACAGAATGCTCCCCCCCCCCCCCCCCCCCCCCCCCCGCCCCACCGCCATGTGTATTTGTCTGATAGTCTGATTTGCAAGCATTATAGTCGGATTCTTCATGTTTGGCAGGCATGTCACAGAAATGGTGCTAAATTCTCATTGCATCCCATCAGGTGCTGTATATCAATTTGGGCCATCGCTGGTGATGCATACTTTGGTTGTTTGATTATGGTGGCGTCTGACAGCTTTCCGAACACTGCACGTTACTCTTTTCTCCTGTGTAACTAACAAGCATTTCGTGGGCAAGGACCTTAAAACTATACACACAGTCCTGGTCCCCATTGTGCTTTACTATTTAACTATTTATATACACTTGTGGCTCCTTATTTTATTCAAAGGATTATAATCCAATTTACTGTTTATTTTGATTTTCAGATGTCCCCGATTCGATCGGTGGAAGCCACTTCAAGACAGCTTCTGTATCCTTCTGACATGTCCCCATTATTCTTTGAGTGCTTCCGTGCATTCTGGCCCAGGATGCTCCAGACTTGCCTTGTACTTTCCCTGCCCAGTCCTGGAATCAGCCATTCTCTGGGGATCCCTGCCTTCTTTCTTTGAAACCGTTGTTTAGAAAACAAAATCTAGGTCTTGCTAATGAGGTGTATCCACTCCTGGCTCTGTGTGAACACAGCTTGAGAATATGTATGCATATGTATGCATACATATAGTATCTATTATATATCTGTTATATATGCATATATTATTATAATGTATTAATATATGTGTATATATAGATGAATCCACTCAGATATATTCTTTTCCAAATAAACATCACAGAGTTCATTCCAGTTTTCTCCTTTTCTCTATTTATAACTCCCTCTCTCACTAAACCCAAACCTCCTCCCCCCTCCTCACCCTGCTCAGGATCTGACACCCCACATCTGGCTTCCCTCCCGTGGGAATGCCCTTCTCATCCTGTCTGGGCTCTGACATCCTGCTCTGGGCCACCATGGCTTCCTCCACTCTCCACACCGTGCACACAAACGCATCCATGCCACGCCTCGCTCTGCCCCACCTGATGGCTTTAAATTGTTCAGAAATGGAAGAGAAGAAAAGGGAAAGGAAAGAGGACCATGAATTGCCTTTATTTGTGAAAAAAAAATTCACAGGATATAGAACTTTTTTTTGTACAGTTAAAAATGCCTTTCCATTGTCGTCTAGATTTCATAGTTGCGACCAACATGTCAGCCATAACTCATTGTTGCTCCTTGGAATATGATGTGTTTTAATTTTTCTTGGCTGCTTTTAACATTTTAACATTTTCTCATTGTCTTTGGTTTGCACCTCTGTGTAGTTTTCTTTGTTTTTCTTTAACTTGGGATTCACTGAGCTTTGTGCATCTATGAGTTGATGTCTTTCTCTGATTCTGACAACTCTTTCCCTTTATCTCTTCAAATATGCTTTTCTTATTCTCTCTCCCTCCCTTTTTCTGAGAATCCAATTAGATGCATGATCGATATTATGACTGTGTCCCAATGTGTGTCTTATACTCTGGTCTATTATCTTCATTATTTTCTCTGTCTGTACTTCAGTTTGAGTACATCTATACACATGTCTTGGAGCTCACTAATCCTGTCATCTGCAGCTAACTCCATTCAATGAATCCTTAATTTCAAATACTAAGGTTTTTTGGTTCTTGAATGCCTACTTGAATTTTTATAGATTCCAATTCTCTGCGTCAGTCCTGCATCATTCAAATGCCCATCTTTCTCTCTAAATATTCTCTTTATATTCTATTTATCATAGTTATTTTTAAATTCTTGTCTCATAACTCCAAGAGAAAAATTATCCTAGTTGTGATGGTGGAATGAATACCTCCAACCAAAATTTGGTTCAAATGTCAAGACTGATGACATAAAGCACATACCAAGAAGATATGAGATTTATTATACACATATGAGGATTTCTAGAGACAGCCTGGAAACTTCCCAAGCAGGTCTAAAAATGGCTTAAGAGAGCAGAAAAAGGAGACTGGCTGGGAAATCATTGGAGAGTGGGACTAGGGATAAGTGTTCCCATGCATGGACCAAGGCTTGCATGGTTTGAACTTCGTGCTGAGACGAATGGATGGGGCACTTAGGCTTTCTTATGAGCTGGCCCAAGTCTAAAGTGAGGAAAGAGCGAGTGGTGGGGCTTAAAAGCTGTCAGCATTCAGGGACACCTGGGTGGCTCAGTGGTTAAGCATTCCATCTCTTGATTTTAGCTCGGATCATGATCTCACTCTTCATGAGAGGAGCCCCATGTCGGGCTCTGTACTGGCAGTGCAGAGCCTGCTTGGGATTCTCTCTCTCTCTCTCTGCCTCTCCCCTGCTCATGCTCTCTCTCTCTCTCTCTCAAAATAAATATATAAACTTTTTTTTTTAATTTTTTTTTCAACGTTTATTTATTTTTGGGACAGAGAGAGACAGAGCACGAACGGGGGAGGGGCAGAGAGAGAGGGAGACACAGAATCGGAAACAGGCTCCAGGCTCTGAGCCATCAGCCCAGAGCCCGACGCGGGGCTCGAACTCACGGACCACGAGATCGTGACCTGGCTGAAGTCGGACGCTTAACCGACTGCGCCACCCAGGCGCCCCTATAAACTTTTTTTTAAAAAGCTGTCAGCATTCAAAAGTTAAAAAAGGAGTCAGACTCTTTACTGTGCTATAGACCTAATGTTTGTGCCCCCCACGCCAATTACATGCTGAAGCCTTAACCCTCATTGTCATGGTATTTGGAAGTGGGGTCTTTGGGAGGCGATTAGGTTCAGATGAAGTCCTGAGGATGTAGCCCTCATGATGGGATTAATAAGGTTATAAAGACGAAGAAATACCAGCGCTCCCTCTCTCCACCATGTGAGGACACAGCAAGAAGGTGGCCATGTGCAAGCTACAGAGACTTTCAACTAGGAACTGAATCGCCAGTACCTTGATCTTGGATTTCCCAGCCTCCGGAAGCATGAGAAATAAATGTCTGTTGGTTAATCCACCCAGTGTGTAGTATTTTGTTATGGAAGCCTGAGCTGACTAAAACACCCTACAGGTGTGCTTCTATTAGCGTTTTTTCTCATGCTTATTGGTCATGATTTCTTACTTATTCACATGTCTTGTAATTTTTTCAATGGATTCCAGATAGTATATATAAAGGAATCCCAGGCCTTAAAAATCATTTTTGTTCCTCTCCAGAAAGGATTGTCCTATCTTCTCTTTGACAGATACCAGGGGCAAATCACCTCAATCCAATCAGAAATTGAGTTGGGCTGGAACTGGATTCCAGGGTTAGTCCACCTCTGGTCTCAAATATCTCAAGGTTGAGAGGCACCTGGGTGGCGCAGTCAGTTGAGTATCCGACTTCAGCTCAGGTCACGATCTCACGGTTCATGAGTTTGAGCCCCGCATTGGGCTCTGTGCTGACAGCTCGGAGCCTGGAGCCTGCTTCGGATTCTGTGTCTCCCTCTCTCTCTGCCCCTCCCCTGCTCGCACTCTGTCTCTCTTTCTCAAAAATAAGTAAACATTAAAAAAAAAAAAGAAATTCAGATATCTCAAGAGTGAGACATGGCAGGTGTTTCTTGCAGCTTCCTCTTTTTAGCAGCTTTCTCCTTCTAGAAGCTTCCTTCTCATGCACAGTCCTCCTGAGTTTCTCATACTATGAGACTGACAGGTCTTTGTCTCCTTGGCCTTGAAAGTTCTGCTCTTCTGACGTGTTAAGCTTAACTCTTACCTCCCTTCACATGCAAACAAAATATGTAGCAAATGTCTTGAGGAGGATACTTACCATGTGTTTCTTGAAAGCTCTTTTCTCTAGCTGTATTTTCCTTTTCACGAACTAAAAAACTGTGCCTTGATAGCCCAGACCACCGACCTCCTATACTACCCCAGCAATCAGTATCCCACAGGGAAACTTCAGAGCTTTACTATTCTCTAGTCACTCAGGCTAGTCTACATGGCTGTCAAAATCCCGGCCGGTTTCTTCTTCCCCTAGTAGCCCTTTTTGCCCAGTGCTCAGTCTGGACACTGACTCAGCAAATAGACTCATAGAAGAAAAAAGCCTAGTAATTCCAACTCACATAGGGAGCCTTTGTCCTTCCTAATAGGTTCAGTGCTACCTACTGCACGTTACCCAAAAGGAGAACCTCTCTGGATGCTTCATTTTCATTGCTACCTATCACAAAACTATCCTCATGAAGAAGGTGGAGAAATGTGAAACGATCACGACAATAATACACTCACGTAGATAGTTTAACCTATTAAATAGCTCCAGTGGAATATCCAAATGTTTTTCTTTCTCAGTCATGCTAAGGAATTAATGCCTTCCTTCCATACAGGGAGATTTGATTTTGAAGAGTATCATGGCTCATGTCACCTTTCAAATCTTTCTTGCCCAGCAACTACTGCCTCCATCTGTTTTTCAAGTTGGCTCAGGATCTGAAGGAACAGTAGAGTAACTGGAAAAGAGTGAGTATTTTTTTAAAAAATTTAATGTTTATTTATTTTTGAGAGAGAGCGAGCGAGCAAGAGAGAGAGAGCAGGAGAGGGGCAGAGAGAGAGGGAGACACAGAATCCAAAGCAGGCTCCAGGCTCCGAGGTGTCAGCACAGAGCCTGACGCGGGGCTCGAACCCACAAACCGCGAGATCATGACCTGAGCCGAAGTCAGACACTTAACCGACTGAGCCACCCAGGTGCCCCAAGAGTGAGTTTGGATCAGGTAGAGCCTTCCTCTTAAATTTCTGTGTTACTTTCGGGGAAGTTACTTAACCTCTCATAAGTTCTGGTTTCCTCTTTTGTAAAATAAAACAACCAATGCCTACCTCCTAGGGCTGTTGTAAGAATTATGTTAGATATCAAGTACCCCAAACACAAGAAACAATCTACACATTGTCCTCATTGGTCATCCCTGGTCCTCAGTTTACCCTGATGCACGATTAGGATGGTGGCAACCTTACAGAGTTGTTTTCATTCTGCAGTTAAATGAGACCATGGAGGAGAAGGGATTTGTAAAAGCACAATGCTATGCGAGAAGATTTGGTGCCCATGTTAGAGGTGACTCTTTTGGTTTCTGAGTCACCAAGTGACTGGTCTCATAGCAAAGTCCAAAGGTCTTTCTGGTTAACTTTTGTTTCCAGGGCCTCTGCACTGTGGGTGTATCCTCAATACCACCCGTCTTCAAAGGATGGCAGGGTGCCATCTGCAGGGGGAAGCCTGCTGGGAGCTGACCAAGCTAGGACTTAGTGTATCTCAGCACACTCTCAAGGACCCGGGGAGCCCATCCTCCTAATCACTAGGATATGCCCACCCAGCCCCATTAGGTTGCCGCTTGGTGCTGTACTTGGACTCGTACAAGGCATCGACCAAATCCCACCTCTGCACGACTAGCTGTGTGACCCTGGGCAAGTCCCTAAACTTTCTGCCATCAGTTTCCTCATCCATGAACCCGGGATACAATAACACCTACGGCAGGACTGTTGTAAGGAATGAATGAAAATAACAACAGGAAACCCGGTGTACATGGGGGATGCCTATACATGGAAACTGTCACTCTGACCGGGTCCCTGACACCTCCTGAACCCATGGTGTCGGGCTCTGTGCTGGGTCAGCACCAACATTCCACCTTCCCGGCGGCCCAATCCTTAAAGGTGGCGCCTTCCGGCTTCCCCATTTCCCAGGCAACAGAGGGCGCCGCTCGCAGGCCCTGGAAGGGACCAGGGGAGCCAATGGGGATGCGGGAAGGCCACGG